AGACCCAGCTCTAACTCCCGGGGTTTCTCTTCCTGCTTCTGTCTCAGATGTAGCTCCTCTGGCTCCTGTTTCTCTCCTAAGCACAGCTTTCCTGCCTGGGGCTTCAGTGACTGCAGGGGTCCCAGGTGTAGCTCTGGCTCCTGTTGCTTAGGCTCACACTCTTGCTCAGCCAGCCCCTTTCCAATGGCTGTGCATTTCTCTTCATGTGTGGGGGGCCCTTCCCCTGGGAGCTTGGGGGGCACCTTCTGGCATGGGTCAGGCAATGCAGTTGGCTGCTTTCTTTGCTCCTGCTGGATATTGGCTGGAGGAGAAACAGACTTGAGGAGCTCCTGATGGGCAGCAGCAGGTGTAGTCACTGGCAGTGTGTGTTGCTCGGACATCTTAGTACCTGCTATGGGTTAGCGTGAATAGCACAAAGGTCAGACGCTGAAGACAAATAAAGCAAATTAATCCCTTAAAATCTACAGCCATACCTGGTTTCATAGCAGAAGCAGTGGAGTAAAGAGTGGGGCTGGAAAGGGACAGGGAAAGGCCCACCTGGGAACCCCTTGTTCCCAGGCCAGAACCAACAAGGACATTCTCCCTATGGCTGTTCTGCAGGGGAGAAGTTGAAATTGAACCTTCTGCTGTCGTCTACTCCTTCTCTGTGCCCTTATTCTTGATCTCCCATCACCAAGGAGAGATGAGTTTTAGGATGATGGCCCAGGAAGAAGGAAGACCAAGCTTTTCTGAGTCCTAGAAAACCAAAAACCTGTGCTCGTGCAGAACTGAAAGGTCATGGCATCGGGTTTGAACAGGAGTCACCTGATGCATTCTGGACCTGAGTCTGTCACAGAAAAGCTGTGAGGGTCTGGATGTCATTTAGTCCCTCCAGGACTCAGGTCCCTACTCTGTACAGTTAGCTGGTTGGCCTATCAATACCAGAGCTCCTGCCTTTCCTCACCTTCTGCATTTCAGCTGCAGCCTCAGAGCTGGGAGCAGAAAGCAAGGGGAGCTGGCACACTGCTGAGAGCTGGAACGTGTTGAGGTAAGCCTTGGGCTTCTAAGCTGGGTGCCCTTGCCCCTATGCAGTTTGAGCTTGTCCACACAAAAGTCCTCCACACTCTGTAATCCCCCTTCACATAGCACAACCAAAAATTATTTTCTAGAACCCACTGCTACCATTAAAAAAAAAAATAAAATCTTAGTCCAATTCAGAGAGTTTTAAGAGACAACTTAGTTTCTACCCCACCTGCAACTTCTCTCACGCATGCACAAATCCCAGAATATGGCCTCAAGAAAAGATGATACATGAGAAGATGGCTGTCTTCCTGGCTTTCCATGAATCCTAGAAGGCAAGGCAATCCAGCCCAAGCGCAATGCCCACACCCACTCCAGCTGGCCACCCCCGGGTACAGTCTGGCCTGCAGGAGGCTTCCTGTCCCAAGCTGAGTCCCGCCAGTTGATACTTACCAAACTCGCAGTAACAGAGAGGCAGAAGCTACCAGTGGAGTGTGAGCTGAGCAGATGCCAGTGCACCTTTATACTGTTCCTCCCACCTCACCTCGTGCCCAGGTCACAAGTGAAGAACTGGTTCCACCACCCCAGTCGGTCAGCTCCTTCCTGACTCATCACGGACACCCTAAGTACAGAGGCCCTCAGGGCCCTTTTTTCCTAGTTCCCATCTGGCCTGAGGGCCCAGCTACTACTGTAATGCCCTCACAAGGGAGGTGAGGAAGACAGTTAATTGTTTTGTGACTTCAGCTAAACTTCTCTGAATCTCAATGTATCTACCTGCAGAATGGGTTTGTTCTATTTTTTAGACTGAAAGTTTGACTTTCAAGCTGATAGATAAATCAGGAAAGTAGAAAAGTAGGTATTTTGAGATGAATAACTTCTCCCACAGGAATGGGATTAATCCAGGAGCCTATCCTCTCTCCTAAACATCTTCCTGAAGACAGTCTGGTTTTAGACCATCTAAAGGCCAGGAGAAGACTTAAGCCTCACTTCCTGTTATATGCCAAGGATACATGGTGTCCCAAGGCTGTGTTTACAGAAGTTTCCAGAAAAGACATGCTCATAAGCACTCCAAAGCCTGCACCACTAAAGACAAAGAGAATTAAATAGAGACAATATGTAAAGGAATATCTTTACATGGTAAAAGACTTTCTACAATGATTTTTGGACATGCATAGAAATAGAATGATCACAATGAAATTACCCACTGTATTCTTCAAACCATTTATTTTTAAATAGCTTTCTGAGGAGGGATTTGAGCATGTTCCTCCACAATGCTGAAAGAATAAGTCCAAATCCTCCAGCAGGGTCTAAAAGCGCTACAGGGTTTCAAGACACCGGACTCCTCCCTTTTGTAAGACTCCAGTGCATGCCAATCTTTCCCTGACAGATGACCTCCTACCTCACTGAGAACCTTCCATTCCTAGACCAAATCCCCAGTTCTGCCTTTGGGCCGAGTGCCTGCTTGCCTTCTTCTAGGATGGCCCTCCCTGAGGCTCTCACTCTGATGGTCTTCAGCTAAATGTCAGAACCGGCCTAAGCACCTTCTCAGACTGCCTTAGTTACGGGGTTACCTTCTGGTTTGCTTCATTTCACTAATAGAACTCTACAGTTATTTTATGTGTATTTGTTCTCTTGTTTATTATCTGTCTCTCTCATTGGGAAATGACCTATATACGAGGGGGAGTGTACCTGGCATGTTTTCTCCTATGTCCCTAAAACCTGCCAAAATCTACTACATACGTGGGGTGCTCTATCCATATTAGTTGAAGAAATAAATGATGAGTAACTCTGATTGCCTAAAGATAACTCCTACCCTCTTAGTGTTAAAATGTATTTGTGCATAAAACTAAAACTGAATTATAAGTTGTCTTTCGAATGCTTGGTTGGCAGCTTGTCATTTATTTAAGATCTCGTCTTTACAACCTCATCAAGAAAGATATATGAGAGTGATGAGAGGAGAACATTTACTTCTGGAGTTAATTTTCCTGATTCCTCACAGTTATCCTTACGGGCATCTTCCCTGTACTTTCAAGCTGATCTGTTTTCAGGGCTACTGATTCCCTGTTCTTGGCGCTGTTTGGAAAGACAGATGGAGTGGGTCTCACAAAGGTTGACTGACCTCTAGACAGCTGACCTTTTCTCATACACTATTCCTTAAACTCCAAGAGTCTCACATTCTCTCCCCTCATAAGGCCCAGAATGTGCTATTTCCTGGGCCCCCTCCCTGAGATCAGTCTGAACTGATCTCAGGGAGGGGGCCCAGGAAATTTTGCCATTTTCATGTGGCAATGGGCTCCCTTGTGCTCTGCAGCTGACGTCCGGTGGGAGGAATCTGCCTCTCCCTCTCCTCAGCCTGTGACCATCAGTGTGCCAGGGCAGCAGACTTTGCTCAAGGAAGTCACATGGGTCTTGTGGCCTTCTAGAGGCTCAGCATCTGCCTTATCTTCCTTCCACCCTCTGATTCATAGCATAATGAGCGCCTTGGGAAGACAGTGTGTGCAAGTGTTTACCCAAAAAGCAAAGCCGTGTGTGTGTGTGTGTGTGTGTGTGTGTGTGTGTGTGTGAAGTCCTAGGCTTCTAGGGCTTACAGGGCCCATATGTGCCCTTAGGTTGCCCTATCCCATAATCCCATATAGGGACTGGAAATGCATGATAAGGGGAAGATCCTTTCAGTACTCCACAAATGACATCATAGACCACATTATGAGTCCAGGTAACTGCAGCTCCCGCAAGCATAATGAGAGTGAGCTCATATCTCATGACACACGGAGGCACCTTGACCCAGCTGTGCCCCATCCCAAGGAGGCTCTGGCTATTTCTCTTTCAAAGGCAGAAAATGTCTGGTGTCTGTCTGTCTGTCTGTCTGTCTGTCTGTCTGTCTGACTGTATCTGCTCGCCTCTGCCTCTGCCTCTACCTCTATCTCGTCTCTCCCTCTCTCTCTGTCTCTCTCTCTCTCTCCCTGTCTCTGTCTCTCTGTCTCTCTCTTTGCCACTCTGCCTCTCTCTCTCTCTCTCTCTCTCTCTCTCTCTCTCTCTCTCTCTCTCCCCCTAAATGAAACAACCTATTTGAACAGTTGCTTAGTCATCGGGGGTGAGAAGGGATTATTCAAGACAATTTGCTTCCCTGAGGAGAGATATCTTAAGAGTTCTTAGCACTTTGCCACAGTGGGGTGATGGCAGATGGTCCTGGGAAGGTGATAGGAGTCAGGGACTCTCATGTTTCCACATTAGACAGACACGCCTGGTCTCTCTCCTGGTGTGGCAATTTCCTGACACTCTGAGACTCTTAGCCTCCTTTCCCTCCCCTAGGCCACATCCTTTCCCCAAGGCATTGTCTCCTATACCAACTCTCAACCAGTGAAAACCAGCACTGTTTGCCTCCTAACCTACTGGAAGCTTTCTTGTCTTTCTCCATTGCCACCCAAACTGAAACTTGACTCCTCATGTACCTATGCAGGGGATATCTGCTGCTCAGAACAGAGTGAGGCAACAAGCCGAGAATGAGCCAAAGAAACAATGAGTCCTCTCTGGGCCTCTGAGTAGCCCTGTCATCTGTTTGCTTCTCTTCCTGTCCCTCCTTGGCCATGAGGTAGTACATGAGCTTAGCACGTAGTTTGCACTCAGGGAACTACATGCGCTGCTGGCTCTCACTTTCCATCTCCAGGGCTGGCCCTTTCCCTGGATGCAGAAGTTGGAGAGGACAGTCACAGTTTTGTTGATAGCAGAAGGATGAGCAACAGCAAAAAATGACCTCAAGGAGGTAAAACAGGAAGATAGTGCCTCCTCCTCCAGCTGGAAGGTAAGTCCTTTGCCTGGTGTCATTGCTGTAGATATCACAGTCTTTGTAATTGATTCTCTGTACAAGAAGACAAGAAGACAATAATGTCTGGGATGGAGGAATTCTTAAAGAATGCACAGAAAATGCACCATGCTGTGCCAGGAACATAAGAGATTCCCTGTTTAGTTAGTAATAAGAAGAATAAACAAGGGCTGGCGATGCAGCAGCTCAGTGTTACAGTGCTTAGTTAGTGTATGCAAAGTCCTAGGTTTGATCCCCAGCACTAAAATAGATTGATAATTTTAATTCAAAATATGCAAATTAGTAAAAACAGGAAGCAGATTGGAGGTCACCAAAAATCAATGGAAGGGAAACCAACTGCCTAGTAAGAGTTTCATTTGGGGATGATGAAAATGCTATGAAGTGAGATATGGTTGCTGGTTGTACAATATCTGAATGTACTGTTAATGAGTTATTCATTCTAAAATGGTTCTTATTTTAAGTGAATTTTCATTTAAAAAGAAGTAACTGGGCTGGGGAAATGGCTCAGTAGATAAGTGCTCCCCTGACAAGCACAAGGGTCTGAGTTCAATCCCTGGTTCAACCAAAAAAAAATTAATAATAATAATAATAATAATAATAATATAAAAAATAAAAAGAAGTAACACCCATGCCTCAAAGCAAGTCATGATGTAAAGTTCTCATGCTTGGTGCATTCATTGAGCTAGCATGTATTTATTGACTGCCTTCTATGTGCAAGGCACTGGGAAGCCAGTAAAATGACAAATATGAAACACAGTCCCTGACTTTAAACAGTTCGGAGCACAGTCCTACCCACTAGGGTGTGCTCCGCTTCTGGCAGACAAGGATGAAACTCTGCATCCAGTTATGAGCTGCCCAAGAGCCTACAGTAAGAGTGGAACAGAAGCCCAGGAGTCCTGACGTCCAGTTGGGATTATCTTCCCCCCTCACCTGCTTCACTTGGTGTTTAAGTATCTGATGCCTGTGACAGGTTGCAGTACATGACTTCAAAGGCATCTGCCCACTGTGAGTTAGTGATTTACACTAACGGGACTAGTTCTGGGTTTTCTGGAGGAAGCACCAGTTTTCTTGCTTGTTCAACCAACCAAACAAATAAACAAAAACCCACCTTAAAATGAGCCTTGATCTCCTGGGAATAGAGACCCACCTTCCATCTGGTTCTGGTCCTTGTCTCAGCCTAACCCTATGTACAGGAGGTTGCTGTTCAGGAATGGGCTCTATCATTGGAGTCAGATGGGCCTGAGCTGGTATTGCCCTTTCACACTTTACTGCTTGGACCTTCTACCTCTACGATTTGCAGTTTCTTTGTTTTAAAAAAAGGTACAAATGCTTCCTTAGGTTTAGGTGAGGATTTGGTGAAGTAGCGCATGAGCTTAGCATGTAGTTTGCACTCAGGGAACTGGCTTCTATATTATTGCGAGTCATGGCAAATGTTTGCTAAGAGAATGTAGCATGGGATCTGCCTAAAGAAAGGTTGCAAAGATTGCCAGCTAGTTTCATTGTGCCAGTGGACACCATAAGGCCCAGAGTCACACAGTACCTGGAGGCAGAGCTGGGTAGAAGCCAGGTCAGCTGCCTTCCCATTTGCCACTGCCCCACTCTGCTTGCCTCAGCCCCAGGTGATGACTCAGCCCAGCACAGGAGATGAGGCCCCGTGTGGACTGGCTGGATGCCCTCCTGGTGGCCTCGTGGAGAAAAATGGTTTGCACTCCTAGAT